GCGGGGATATATGAGAGGTTGACAACAGAAAAGGAGACAGGTGGTGAGTGTATAAGTGCTGCCCACTAGCAAATAGAGGAGTACATCACAAAACAAAACAAAAAAATGATAATTGTGGTCAAGTCATTCCAACATACAATCGCCAATTAAATATAAACACAAAAACATCACAATGCTTTAGAGACAACAGAACATCACAGTCCACACAAAGAATCAAGATAAATCAGGAGAGACAAGGGACCAGGATATGGACCCAGAACACATCCCTGAGGAAGATGCAGTATTGGAACTCCCTGATAAAGAATTCAGAAGAATTATATTAGGTATCTTCAATGAATTGAGAGACAGTTCAAGGAAAATACAGAGATAACCCTAGAACAATTTTGAAAGACAACACAAGAACAAAATGACAAAATAAATGAAAAATTAGAAATGATACAAAATCTACAGATAGAAATCCAGAAGATTAATGCTAAATTTTCAGAAATGGATAAGACATTGAATGGGCAAAGGAGCAGTATTGAATCAATGGAAGATGGAATTAGGGAGATTGAAGGCAAATACTGGAACACTTCTTTGGAAAGGGATAAATCAGAAAAAAGATCCAAACAAAATGACAAAAGCCTAAGGTTCATGTGGGATACCATCAAAAGGAATAACCTACATGTAATTGGAATTCCAAACAGGAAGACACAAAACCACAGAGAAAATTGTCGAAGATTTGTTGTAAGAGAATTTTCCTGGTATGATGAAAGATGAGAATATAGCTATTCAGGAAGTCCAGTGAACCCCAAACAGGATAGACCCCAAAACAAAATCACCCAGACATTTCATCATCAAACTCACCAAAACCAAAGACAAAGAATCATGAGAGCAGCATGGGAAAAACAAAAAATTGCCTACAAGGGGCAACCAATAACATTAAGCTCAGATTTCTCGACAGAAATCATGCAGGCGAGAAGACAATGGGATGATATATATAAAACACTGAAGAAGAAAAGTTTCCAACCAAGAATTATGTACCCAGCAAAATTGTCCCTCAAATATGATGGTGAAATTGGGACATTTCCAGATAAGCAAAAATTAAGGGAATTTGTTAAAACCAGACCAACCTTACAAGAGATGCTAAAGGG